TTTTTTTTTTTTTTTGAATTTTTTCAATTATTGGAGAAAATATAAATAATACAATCCATGAAAAAAAGTAAAATTTACATATGATACAATATTTTGTTTTACTGGTTTTCTTTAGGATGGTAGACACCATGTTGCTTTGGATGAAGATGTCGATGGATTTTCTCACTTGCATTTTTCAGCAATCCAGAGAAGTTAATAGGCCTCATCATCGCTAGCTGAGTTCGGTTTGGTTGTTCTTGTTTCATCGTGACATCTTCTGTTAAGTAGCACATTTTTTTTTTAGAGTTTGGGCCTACAGGTCTCTGAAACTGATTCTCTTCAATTTAGTTTCATTTATTAGCTTTTTGTTCAAAAAGTTGAAGATTCAAAACAGGAGTAAAAATAACTGAAATCAAATTAGAGGAAAAGTACTCTAACAAGAATTTTTTTGGGAATACGAATTGGCGATTTATAAATCTTGGTGATTAACAGTTCCAACTTACTTAGTTTTTGTTATTTTAAACAGTGTAATTGAGTGCTGTTTTCTGCCTTAAGTGAAATCTGTTGTTTTTTTTTTGCCCTGACTAAGGTGTTTTTAAGTTTTCCTCAGTGGGCGTTGCTTAATTTTTGGCACTTAAATACATTGACTGTTTATGTAATTTATAAAATAACTTACGGGTTCCCAGATTTGCTGATTCTTAGAATGTTCGTCAACACTTGTCATTTCCTTGACTGTGTATAGATAGTTGACCGTTAGATAGGGGCAGCTGTAACGTAAAGTTCAGTGAGCGTTTCACCTTGTTGACATTGTACACTTTTATTGATCAGAGAAGCTTTTTCATTTTTTAGCAGTTTACAGCTTACAAGCAAAAACGGGCACTACTTTACTAAAGCTATTAATATAAAAATATTTGCAATTCTTTGAGACATCAAATTATATAAATTTCTTATTTGTAAACTCGGGAGAGGAAAGCTGAAATTGTAATTGAATTGGACGTGTTGAAGAAGTGGTCTCAGTAGGTAGAAGTTTCAAAAGTCAGCGTATTATCAAATGAGGAAAGAAGAAGAAGGCAGCCTTTAATGATTTGAAGGGATTAAGTATGCAGAAAAAAGGAAATTTTTAAGAAAATAAATTCTTGGATTTCAAAAGAAGCTAGGTGAAACTGAACAAAATTTGTTTTTTTCTGGCAGTTAAAGGGAGTGGTATAGAGCTGAAGTGAGCAAGCATTCCTTTTTTTGTGCGTGTATGTGTAGTTGTTGTTGTTCGTTCGTTTGTTTGTTGTGTGTATTTGTGTATTTCCTAGCGAACGAAGTAGAGTGATGGTACGGGATTTTACTTTTGCTGTGTGTTCAAAGTGGTGAATAAAGAATAGTTTATTTCTATAATGTTCGCCAGAAAAAAAGTAAGAATCAAAGATTGGCAAACATACTGTGTTGGAAGAAAAACGAATTGGGTTTTTGGAAAGTTGATAGGGTTGCGAGTTGTTAAAGCGAAACGGATAGTCGATAAAAAACAAGCAGTGCATAGGTTTAACTTACTGTTTTTTAACACTCGTATTTGAATAAACTTAAAATGTCGGCTGGCAATAGTCTGTTGAGAAAAATATATTGTTGTTTACTGTGTGGGAAAAGTTTCAAAAAATTACAGTTTTTTCAGTCGACTATTAAACGCTGAACAAATGTAGGCGAACTGGACTATCATTTCAAATAGATATTTAAATTATTTAAAATTTCTTTAATTGTTCCTGCTCTTCTTATCGTTGTTATTATCGGAATCATCGTTACTTTTAGTGTGATTGAAATGAAAGATGTTCAGTAAAAGTTTTTTGAATTAGAAAAAGTTAGAGGAGGAAAATTTTTGTTACAACTTGGTAAAAATTCATTGATTAATGAATAGAAATTCCATTTTTTTTTCGCGAAAGTATGTTTTCATCAATGAGTGGAACGGGTTATTTTTTTGCTGCTTTTTTTTTGGCCAGAAATCTAATGGTAAATATGTTTTCAGCCACTGTATCGGAAATATTGAATAAGTCTTTTAAAACAAAGAAAAAGCGCCGTTCTTTGTTTTTTTGCTTTTTACTTTGCAGCAGGTCATTTATACCGATAAGAGTGGAAATAAGTTTTGTTCTTCTCCCTTCTCTTCAATAATACAAGCAAAAAAGAGAAGAGTGGTGACAGCTTGAAAAAAAAAAAAGAGAAAAAAACGGAATTATTAGAAAGTGATAAACAAAGCAGTGATGAAGACACTGTTCTCATACTGTTTCATGAACAACAAGACAAAAAAAGGTGGTTTTTATAAATATCTTTAAATTGTATCATAAGCTGAAAAGTACTTTTAGTTTGAAGAGCAGGAAGCGCCATACATGTTAACTGGTAGAGTTTTATTTCACCAGATGGCATATCAATTCTTGGGGGAAAAGTTGACTTCCGCTGTTGCGTCGAATTAACGGGATAAAAAACTTTTCTTTCATTTTTGACTCTGCTTTGCACTTTAATTCTCGTACTGCTATTGTTGATACTAATGCTTACGCCGCTGCTGCAGCTTTTTTTGATATCCCACTAATAAAACAAAACTTATTTTGAGCTGCTTCGGAACAGGCAACGAAGCATACGGAATTATCGTGCCGCAGTAGAAGTGAACTGCACGGTGGTCGGTGTGCAAAGCAGGTCCAGTTGCTACCTGTTTTTCACTATTCTGCCCAGCATCTTTATAACCTTTTCAGTCTTACGAGCTCTATCAAAATAATACCCCGGCGGTCTCATAATACAAATTGTCATTGATCGCTCATTAACATCTGCACTGCTAGTTCCCTGTACTATCCGAACATATCCGGATGAAAAACAAAGAAAGGAAATAGGACTGCAGAAGAATGCTTAGCAGTTAAGTTATTTATAAACTGATGACTGAATGACATAGAGAAGAGACAGAAGTGGATAAATTGATCCAAACAAGTGGAGCATATCAGTGGAAACATAAATTCATTCGTTTGTACAAAATCGATAACTTTCAATGGCAATTGTAAACAAAATTTGAGTGCTTTTATGTTTGTCTGTTTAAGTGAAAATTTAAACTGAGACAACAAACAGCCTAACTAGACTAGTCAACAATGGCTAAAAAATTTAGATTATCTTGACTAGTATAAATTAGGAAAGACGCTAAAATATGGTGGAATGAAACTAATGATATTTATTTGATCAATTTTTTAAATTACACTCAATAAAAAATTTCTTCTTCTTGCAGCAAACAGTCACTAAAATCAAGACAGGATTTGTTGACTTTCTGATAAGCAGGGAAAGAGACACTTTTTTAATTGAAAATAATAATTTATGAAAGTTCATCTATTCTCCTCCTTTTAGCAGAGGAATTAAACTATATAATTAAAATAAAATTTTTAGACGAAACAACTGAACGAATAGATACGCTCTTTTGAACAATAGCAGAAGAAAAAAATAGAGCTTTTAGATCGGTGTGAAAAAGGACGGCGGCAGATGTGTGTAAAATCAATATGGCC